TCTGGAGATTGTCCAAGGTGCTTCATGACCCACCAAAGTGCAGTGGTTCCCAAACTTTTCAGCTTTTGACCCACAAAATAACAGCAGCAGAGACCTGAGCCTCCAACTATTTTTGGATGATAAACATTTGTATCAGGTCAACTAAACATGGGCATAGTAACAATGTTTTTTAACTACATTTATCAATTTTAAAAATACTAACCTCACTCCTTTTGTAACAACTAAGGCAAAAATGTCATTAATTCAGAAAATCTTTTCAGGACCCCACCTTGATGTTTTGGGACCCCACTTTGGGTCCCGACCCCAACTTTGGGAAAGACTGGTCTAGAGCATGAAAACAGTTAAAGGCTCATTTAGTATTTATAGAATGTGGGAAATGTGTCCAAATATCCATGTAAAAGGTAAAGGCTACATCTCCAAGCAGCTTTGTGTTCATGTGACCACAGCTGACAAGATTAATAAAAAGAATAAGGTTCATGGGATTATACCTCCCAGAACATGGACGCAAGAGGAAATGCAACCCCGGCTTGATGGGACAGATGTCGCAGATTGTAGAAATAGATCCAAGAAAACCATCCCAAACCGTTTTAAGCTGAACTCTAAGGTCAAGATATGCCACTTCCTGATCTCACCATCTGTCACATTTCGAATTACAAAAGAGCTCCGTGGAAGAAAACACAGGATGGCTCCACTGTTGACAGAAAAACACAGAAAAGCCAGACAGGATATCAACATAATGCATGTTGACAAGCCCTACATTTTGGGGGGACAAGTTTCTGTGACTGATGAGACAAAACCAAAGCTCTTTGGCTCCAGTTAGTACATGAGTTCTGTTTTTAGCTTATTGTGGAAAAGAACAAACAAACCAGTGTCTGTAATTTTTAAACATGAAATAAGAAAAAAAAAACAGGCTCTTACAGCTGGTAGCTAAGGGGAATCAAAGCCCTTTTAATTACTTGAGAAAACACAACAGCAATAACTGCTGTCACTCTAATTTGTTAATAATACAGCGAGTATGAAACAGGATGCAACAAATTGAATAACGTAGTTTGATACAAATTATTATGGTGTGGTGTAATAATTCCAATTTCTTACTTTAAGCAACGTTCAGTTACCTTCCAATTAGGCTTTAAAGCCCAGATAAGGAAAAAAAACTAAACATGCTGCTCACAAACTACTGTTCATTTAGATAATTTAGTGTGTTTTTTTTAGGTTTAAATCATTTTAAATCTTTTAGTTCAAGGTTTTAGCTGAAAACTTGAGAAGCTGTGAAAAACTAAACGTGTAAACCGTGTTACGTTGTTTTATTTTGGAATTCAGCCTTGTTAAAAGTTTACCTGAAACAAACTCCATGCTTCTTTCAAACATGGCTAAAACCTTTCATGTAATGATACCAAAAGACTAAAAACTGGGAAGGCCCACACCTTTCTTTTAATTATTATTTTTTTGCTCTTTCTTCAAAGCTAATGGAAGTGAGGTGCACATCAGCAACGTGCACTTTGAAGACACTGGGGCTTATACCTGCATCGCCAGAAATGAGGCCGGTGTAGACGAGGACATCTCGTCCCTGTTTGTGGAGGACTCGGCACGCAAAACCTGTACGTACAAAGACCTAATACGTTTTCTTCACCATTGTTTTGTTTTCAAATGCTTTTAAAATAATTAAGTTTCAGTTGAGTTTTCTTTAGAGGGTTGCCTGTTGGTCTTTGTCATTTTATTTGCTCTCAGAAAGATTCTATGGCTACGTTCACACTGCAGGCAAATCCGACCCAAATCCGATTTTTTTTGACCCATCTGACTCATTTTTTATGACAGTCTGAATGAGACAAATCCGATTTTTTTTGACCCATCTGACTCATTTTTTATGACAGTCTGAATGAGACAAATCCGATTTTTTTTGACCCATCTGACTCATTTTTTATGACAGTCTGAATGAGACAAATCCGATTTTTTCAAATCCGACCCAGGCCGTTTC